AACATAACTGATGGCAGCACTGGAAATTCAGTATGTCCAGTGCTGGCTAACATTAAGTTGATAATCTTGTGGGGATCACAAGCGCCGTTTTAAATATCCACGTGGCGCTTGGCAGAACCAAGTTTCCCCACCCCTGCTGGGCTGTTATAGCGCTGCCACCAGCAGCATAGAGCACCTGTCACCAAGGCATAGAACACCTGTTTCCAGGGGACTCAATCTTGACGAAGAACTGATGCTGCCACCTGGTGGCCGGAAGAAACAATGCAAGACTCGTTACTTCCTTGTCACATGTTATTGATTCATTAGCTCATTCATTCATTCCACCAACATTCCCGATTAAGAGGCATGTGCTAACAGTACCAGCTCTTCATATATAAGTGCACGTGTCACGCCACCTCCAGTGGAGCCTGCGTGAGAAATCACCAGGCCGAGGCGGAAGCCTCAAGGAAGGATGGCTCCTGGATCCGGCTGCATCTCTAGTGGTCCCTGACCCGTGGCCCTCGCCGAGCTAGGGTCCTGCGGCTGCTGGAGCAGAACGCCACCGACCAGGAGACAGAAACAGCAGACACCCGTGCTTCTGGGGGTCAGAAGGCCAAGGCCAAGGCGTTGGCAGGTGGCTTTCTCCTGCAGCCTCTCTCCCAGGCTTCTAGGTGCCATGTCCTCCCAATGTCTCTGCCTCCTGCTTTCTGTTGCAAAGACAGCAGTCCTGCCGGCTTAGGGTGCTCTCATGCAGACTCACCTTTCTTTAGCTGCCTCTGTAAAGACCCTCCTAGTCCCTGTCACATCCCGAGGACACAACGGGCTTGCATTTTGACATGTGATTTTGGAGAAGAGAGTGAACGCAAATCTTTCCCTTTGCACTGTCTAGCGGGAAAGGCAAACACTGATTCTGTAGTTGCGGTTGTATGTGGCGTTACAACTGCTGCCCATTTGAGCTGGGAACCGAAAGAAGGGTGGAGGCAAGAGAGAGAGGGAACAGGTGGCCGGGCTGAGGGCACAGGGCCTGGTCCCCTGGACACTGATAACACCTCACCCCATCTGCGGCCTGCAGCTCCTATAAGACACTCCCCACTGGCACCACTAGCAGTGCCAATGTGTGGACATCAGTGCAGTGGCGCCATCCAGCGGGCAGGTGATGCTCAAACTCCCAAGTTACTTTTTCAACCCCACGAAGAAGGCCTGGAGCAAATGCACCGTGAATTATTTCTGTGGCTCCTCTTTGGTTTGTGTCTGGACTAACTCTCCACCTTGGAAAAACGAAATGACTCTAACTTTGAAAAAAGAGAGCCCAGGCTTGTGGAATGCCCCACATTCTAGATGCATCGAAATGTTCCTTGTGATGAAAATCAGGTTAAGTATTTTTGGCAAGACGCTGACATAGGACGGCTGGTTGCATCACTTTGGGGGTGCACAGTGTCAGGTCGCCCCACTCTGAGGGCTGCTGGGTCGAGGTGCGGACTGCTGCACCTGTGTCTCGCCAAGGTCCAGGTCTCCCCTCCCCCGCCTCCTCTCTCAATGAACATGTGCTCTGTGCTGGGTTCTCTCAATGGCTTTGCCATCCGTTGAGGTCCTGGCTCCTTCACCCTACTGCCATGCTGGGGATCACAAAGTAGAATTTGAGTTTAATGTCCTCTGGTGATCTGGGAAACCCGCCTATCTGTTATTTATTTTTTTTTAATTGAAATATTTATTTAGTTTTTGTTGGAAAGTCAGATATATAAAGACAAGGAATTACAGAGAAAGATCTATCCACTAGTTCATTCCCCAAGTGGTCTCAATGGCTGGACCTGAGCTGATCTGAAGCCAGGAGCCAGGAGTTTTTTCTGGGTCTCCCACATGGGTGCAGAATCCCAAGGCTTGGGGCCGTCCTCGACTGCTTTCCCAGACCACAAGCAGGGAGCTAGACAGGAAGTGGAGCAGCCGGAACACTAACCCATGCCCATATGGGATCCTGGCAGATGCAAGGTTAGGACTTTAGCTACTAGGCTACCACACCAGGTCCTAAACCCCATTTAAAACAAAGAAAGAGGTACAGGACAGTGAGGTGTTGCAGTCCAAGACAGCTGAAGGCATCAGCCAAGACATACTGTTCTTTAGAATGGGTTACATGCATGTTCCAAGTTCCTACACAGGTAGAGCAGGGTGTGCAAGGCTCACACCTGGAAAGCAGCGTTTCTTCCCCCCTCTTCCCTTCATTTCCCCCACATGGCTTTGGACTCAATGAAGTTTGATAAACAGGGACTGAGGCAGCGATCTTAACTCTGGCTAAGTAAAGCAACATTGCATTCCCAGCATGCCTGGGGAGATGCCCTGATTGGTAGATCTGCCTGAGATACTGACATTCCATGGGGCTCTGGTTAAAATCCGGCTGCTCCACTTCTGCTCTGACTCCCTGCTAGTACACCTGGGAGAGCAGTGGAACTCCAGGCTCCTGGCTGCAGTCTGGCCCAGGCCTGAGTGCTGCAGCTATTTGGGGAGTGAATCAAAAGAAAGAAAGATCTTTCTCACTCCCTCTGTAACCCTGCCATTCAAATGAATGAATGAATAGATTTTTTCCCCCTTTTAAGTAAGGCTGCCAAGATTCTGATCAGCACGTTCTGGAGTATAATCCAGGCCTTAGATCATTTTAGAGCTCTGTTGGTGACTCCAGGGCTCTGCGGGCTTGGAGATCTGTGTGCAGGAGTCTGTGCAGGCTGAATACAGAAGTAGAAACCAGGCCACTCCCACCTCACTCGCTGTCCCAGTTCCCACTATCCTGGCTTGCTGGCCCCGACTCTCTGGTGCTCCCTCCACACCATGAATGCCCCAACCCCCTGGGCTGTAGACAGCTTTGTGTGGAACGCACAGAACAGAAGCAGGACCAGCTCTGGGGATTAGTGGGTGAATCTGCCACCTGAGACGCCTACATTCTGTATGAACAATGGTTGCAGTCCCAGCTGCTCTACTTCTAATCCTGCTAAACGGACTTGGGCCCCTACACCCGCATGGGAGACCCTGAAGAGGTTTCTGGCTCCTGGCTTCCGCCTGGCCAAGCTGTGAGCCAGTGGATAGAAGACTCTTTCTGACTGTCTCTCCATCTCTCTCTGTAACTATGCCTTTCAAATAAATAAAAATAACATTTTAAAAAGAGAAGAACAAAGGTTACTTCCCTCGAAAGTGCTGGAATGTGAGAAAACACACAAATACAAGGTTTTGTATAATCAGAAGCAGACACTCTGAAAGAGGAAGTGACCACCCAGAGGGGCCAGGACTGTTACCCAGAATGCCCTTCTCCTCTGCATCCTTGGTACTTCCTGCCTGGCCCAGAGCCAACGTCATCCCCAGCAGCATCCACGTTGAGAGAGAGCCGTTTAAGAAGGCTTGTGCTTGGCCAGGTATGGCAGTAAATATCTGTTGAATGAATGAATGAATGAATGAAAGCAATCCTGCGCCTGCTCACCAGCTGACCTTAGGAACCAGCAGAGCAAACAGCTCCTGGCAGTAATTCCTTTAAAAAAAAAATTATTCATTTTGATTTTTATTGGAAAGTGAGACATACAGAGAGGAGGAGAGACGGAGAGGAAGATCTTCCGTCCGATGGTTCATTCCCCAAGTGACTGCAATGGCCTGGTGCTGCACCGATCTGAAGCCAAGAGCCAGGAGCTTCTTCCAGGTCTCCCACGTGGGTGCAGGGTCCCAAGGCTTTGAGCCATCCTTGACTGCTTTCCCAGGCCACAAGCAGGGAGCTGGATGGGAAGTGGGGCTGCTGGGATTAGAACCGGTACCCATATGGGATCCTGGCCCATACAAGGTGAAGACTTTAGCCACTAGGTTACCGTGTCGGGCCGGCAACTGGAATATTAATGAACTGATCAGGAGCTAGAGGGCAAGTAAGTGCAGGACTTTCAGAGGACTCGGGCAGGGGTGTCTGGCGGCTCACAGGTTTTGGCTCCTCCAAGGACGGTCACCGAGTGTCCCCAGGAAACAGGGACTGCTGAGCTCCGGAGGAAACCCCGAGCCTTAACAACATTGTCAGCGAATTCTTCCCACAAAGCTGCAGGGGAATGGAGCTAACTGGGAACTATCCCCAAACTCCTCGGCTTAAATCTTGTGTGCTCTGGGTCCTCCCCCTCCTCTCGGCCACCCCGGGGTTCCCAGGCCTCTAATCTAGGGGCCTTGGAAAGCTCAGGAAACAAGGCCCTTTGTGCACAAGAGAACCCTATTGTTCTAGGGTCAGTGTTCCGCCAGTGTGGATTCCAGAGAATGTTTTGGGATGCTTTTCCCCCCTTTGTTTGTTAACTTTCTCTCCTCTTCCTGGGGGGGTGGGGGGTGGGGGTGGGACGGAGGCCGTGACTCTCAACAGCAATTTAACAATCCATTGTCCCCGGTAAGAACGGCTCAGGGTGCTCGGAGTGGATGAACTGGGAGCCTTGGGGTAGATTGGGTAGGTTGTCGTTTCGCTCTGTAGTTTCAGCGTGAAGCCTCGGAGGCATCCCGTGTGTAGACCCTGCACCTCTCCAAGCAGACGTCAGCTTAGGCTCGACCACGTCCTTCCGCCCTCCCAGAAAGAGGAAACCATGCGGGCCCGCGTGCTCCTCCTCAGCTCGCCGCCAGACCTGTCCTCAGGCACGAGCTTTTACACTCCAGCTGCGCAGGGCTGCGTCCCTCGGCACTGGTAGTGAGCTGTGCGCCGCGCGGGCTCTGACCTTCACACTCCCACCTGTCAAATGGGCGCGAGAACAAGGTCGTCAGCCATCCCTCCCCCACTTTCCCCTCCATCCACGCCGGGTGGGGATCGGGGCGGGGAGAGGAAGGAAAACTCTTCCGAAGCTTGGCCGCGCCCCATCCCTTTCCAATTTCCTGCTGTCCAAAGCCGAGCGCTCCACTCCGGCGGCGCAGGGACCCTTCCCATTGCCGGCAGGCGCGCACCCGCCCCCTTCCCGCGAGCTCAGGCCCCGCCTCGGGGGAGGAGCCGAGGGGCGGCGCGGAGGCGCCAGGCGGAGCGGGGCTGTCGGTGTCGCCGTGCGAGCTGCAGCGGCTCGGACTCCGAGGGGCAGAGCCAGGGCCGGGAGCCGCCGGGGGCACGGCTCGGGAGAGCGGGTGAGTTCCCGGCGGCGCCGCCTCGGCCCTAGCGCTCTGTGCCGTGACTGGGCAGGCGGCGAGGGTCTGGGTGGAAGGTAGTAGCAGGCTTTAGTCTGGTTCGGGGAGGCAGGGGGTGCTGTGGCCAAAGGCCGGTGGCTTAAGGTAATGGGGTGGGGGGGAGACGGGGGCGTTGGAAAGGCGGTTGCTGGGAGCACCGGGAGGGAGAGTCTGGATGGGGTGGATGGGGTGGCGGCTTTCTCCCCGGGCTCCAGCTTCCACGGCAAGGCCGAGGCAGGGGGCGCTTTGGCAGGTTGTTGGTTGGGGCTGTTGTGGCCCGATCGTGAGGTGCGGGAACGATGGTCCTTGGCCGGTTCTGGACTCGTGGGCCGCAGTCTGCCGGGGCGGGGGGCACAGTGTCCGGCGGGCGGGAGTCCCAGAACATCGTCCCTTCCCGCCCCCCGCGCTGGTCTTCGGGCATCAGGGTGCCGCCCCCTCGCGTGGCGGCGCTGGGTCCCCACAGACAGCGGCAGGGCGCAGGGAGCGCTCTTACCCGGGCGGGAAAGGTCCTTAGGGTAGGCGCCCCTGTGTGCAGACCTGCCCGCAGAGGGATCCCGCTCGCAGGGACCGCCGGCCCCGGGAGATCCCGCGCTGGGGAGTTCCCCGGGAGAGGCGCGCGCTGTTTCTATTAAGGCCGCCTTGCGCTGGCTGCTGGGTCCCCCGCGCCAAGAGCGCTTCTCTCCTCGCGAGTCCCGCGCGCCTGTTCTGTCAGGGAGGAGCGCCCTCGAGCGCCTAGGATGGGTAGACACTGTGCATTCCGCCCCGGGAGGTCGGGTGGCGGGGGTCCCCCCTTTCCAAGGTCACCCGGAGCTCCCAGGCTGAGCTACCAGAGCGACCGGGGTGGAGAGCCGGGGAAAGGGAGGCGCTGGCTGACCGGCGCCTCTCCGGTGCGGACTCCTTTCCTGCGCTTTCCTCATCTGTGGGCAGCCTCCGGCTTCGCTGGAGAGGCGGACGCTGCAGCGCCGGGTACCCCCCCCCCCCAGGTGATCTATCAGCTTTGAAACGTGGTTCTCTCGGGAGTCCAGCCGTGCGCCTCCACCGCGCGCCAGGCCTGGGACCCGGCGCACCGGGGCCGCCCAGGAGCGGAGGGAGAGAGATGCGGCTGCATCAGCGCTGCTCGGAACCGAAAGGCGGGTGCTTGCGCGCCCATGTGATGGCACTGCACATAATGAGCCCCTGTTTTCGCTGTCAGAAGCCCTCCTCAGCTCCAGGCAGCCCCGAGCTCCAGGTGCCACCTCTGAATCGCTCTCTGTGCAGCATCACAGGCCTTGTGGTACCAGGCGCCCTTCCCCGCAGGGCTCTTTCGGGAGGGGGCTGCCGTAGGTCCGCGTGTCGTGCTTTCCCCGGGTGCTCTGCCATTTCCTGCGGCCGGGGAAGCCCCGGAGAGAACCCTGGGTCTGTGAGGCCTTGTTCCGGGCTGGCCTTCAAGCCGGCCGCTCAGCCTGCGGGACTTGGCCTGGTAGACCCGGGGCCACCCCTAAGGCATGGGCTGATAACCTGCTCCTGGCGCTGCTGCTGGGGGGCTCAGGAGGGTGAGTTCTCTGGAGTGGACGCTGTCTCCTTCACTGTTGGTTTCCACTGGGGCGTGTCGCTGCTAAGGCGGGTGAAGTGGAACCCTGGTGAGTGGGCTCCACTTCTTCCTCCCTCAGCTCTGTTATCCCCAGCCGGTGTGCAGGAGGCTGTGGGGGCTACCTGCTCAGGGGGCCTTTTCCCATCAGTCACCCAAATCCATCTTCTCTGCTGAGTCCCCAGACTCCTGGGGCTACACTCTTCCTGTAGGAGGACCCTCAGATGGTTGTTTCTTTCCCTGGCTTCCCCCCACCAGTGGCTCTGGGGTTCAGGTGTTAGCGCCAGGGGGTGTCTTGCTGCTCCGTTTTGCTCTTCCTCTTGGAGGCAGGGCCCTAGCCGCTCAGACTTTGTTCCCCTGCTGGTTGGAGCTGGAGTGGAGGTTAAATTCTGATCTGGCTGCTAAGCCCTTTAGGCTGGGGCCCTGGGCCTGCAGAACCTCCCAATGAGGTCAGAAATGTGGCCCCAGGCTCTTCCCAAACCCAGCTCTAGAACCAGAGTATACTTCCTTTGCACCACCTGGTACCTTGCAGGAGACACACACCGGACTCAGGTGCCAGGCTTGGGCTCTCAGTAGCTATCCTGCCCCTCCTCCCTCTCCCCCAAGTACCCCGATCCTCCCTGCACCCAGGACACTCGAAGCGATTGCTGGACAGTGGGGCCCAAGTCAAGAGCATGACAACTTTCATTGCCACAAGCATGCCCACAGGAGCTTAAACTTCAGTGTGGACTGCTTGGGCTCCCTGCCTCTCCCAGTGTGGACAACAAGGTGACCAGCTTCTAGCTCTGCATGCCAAAGACCAGCGGCCCTGATAGGTAAGCTGCTCTCTCCAAGCCACAGTGCTGCACTGCTGGCATCCTGTAAAATGGGAGTGCCAGTCATGTCAGCTTCCTCTGGTGGCACGGAGCCTGTGAGACCACAACACATAGAAAGTGCTTAGCACAGCGGCCGGCGCAGGTCCGGATGCGGGAAACGCTGATTGCCATGGTCGCTGCCATTTCCTCCGCTGCAGACTCTCAGAGGTCCCGCCTGCCCTGGTTCAGGGGCGTGAGACTCGGGCTCTTCTGACTCTGGCTCCATGACAAGGAGAGCCCCTCAGCCCGTCTTCTGAAAGGGCAGGAGGGATTAGGGTTGTTTTTGGGGAGCTGGAGTCAGGCGTGGGCTTGTTTCCCAGATGTCTCAACCCTCACTGAGCCATCTCCCAGGTTTCACTAATTAATTTCCTGGATGTTTGCACCTGCCCTGACCTTGTGCCTTGCAAAGGATTTTGAGATGAGGAGTGTGGTAGGCAGGCCAGGAGGCTGAAAACACAGGGCCGTGTGGGGTGAAGGCTGCGACAATGCAGAGAGAGTGGAGAGCATGGGTGAGCAGGTGGGTTCAGGCCGAGCCCAGGTGGAACCTCAAAGCTGCCACCTCATGGTTGAGTGATGGTGGACAGATGTCCTACCTTTTCATGCAGACAGGTCTCCTGCTGACAGTGGTGCCGGAGAGAAAAGTGAGACCATGTCGGTAAAAAAAATGTTAGTTGGGGGCCTTGGCAATATTACTAAGTGCTCACAGATGTCTGCTGCTATTATTGTATCTATCATTGCCAGTAAGAGGTGGGAGCTTTTCTTTGGGGAGCCCCCTTGAGTCAATCCATGAAAGGTTTCATGGGTGCTAGAGGGGTGGCGGCCCCAGCAGAGGGAAGAGCCCCGGGGGGGGGCACTCAGTATCCCAGGATGGTAAGCAGAAGTCGCAGCTGGGGCATGGTGTGGATGAGGCAGGGGAAGGAGCAAGGCCTGGGAGGGAGGCCAGGAACCCACCCCACCTGGGATTCTGAATGCTTTCTGACTCCAAGCAGTCGGCTGGTGGCTTGCGGAGGACAGCTGTCTGATCGTAATGTCCAGAGAAGTTCAGGATTTACTTCTTTGTAGGAGGAAGGACCAGCCTGTCCTCATTTGCTAATATCTTCCCTGCGCCTCCCTCTTCATACCGTGTAGGAGACGTAAAGGCCACTGTCACTTTCCTGAGCTGCCCTGCGCACCTGTGCACCTGTTGCTCTCTAGGAGACTCAGTTTCCGGCTCAGGTGAAGAGAATGTGGATGAAGGAAGTGTCATGGCCTGATTCCCTTTTGACCACCGAGTGGATGCCGGTCCCTGTCCAATGTCTTTGCTTGCATGGTCACTAGGTTCCCACTGGTGTGGACTGTGGATCAAAGTGGAGGTGCTTACCCCCATTTCCTAGAAAGTGAAACTGAGGCACAGTGAGGCAGTTTGCTAAAGGGCACATAATTCATCAATGGCAGGAACTCATGGCTGGGTGGGTGGCAGGGCTGGTGGTCTCCAAAGTGGCTGAATGCTGCCTTGTGCCACATTCTTCCTGCACGGCCAGATGTTGACTGCAGTAGGCACCTTGGAGATGGGCCACAGTGAGGGGCACTGTACCTTGACTTTTGGGGAGATTCCTGCATGCAAGTGCACCGGAGGGGAGGTATTTTCTTGGCTGCCTCGGGATCCAGGGAGTGTGTGTGCCGATGCGGGCAGCTTGCAGTGTGATTGATACGGCAGGTGGTTGCTGAGCCCCGCCGTGACCGTAGGAAGGAAGGGGTGTTTTGTGACAGCCGGTCAGAGCACTGCATGGCTGTAGAGCTGTGTCTCTGGAGACCTCCGGACAAAGGCTCGGCTTTCGTTTTCCACAAGGACAGGTTTTAGGGCCAGGGTTCAGACCTGGGTTTTTCCCCCCCACTGACTTTGGGGCCTTGGATGATGTGTTTAATTTCTTGAACTTCCTGTTTTTTTTTTCTTCTGCAAAAATGGATAGTGTATACTCTATAGATGCTTGTTGTCCTAAGGATTGTGGCCATGTGTATACTGCCTGGCTTCCAGATTGTGGATCCTATCGATACTACGCCACGGAATTCTTTGCTGTACTTAGAATTCTTACATGGCGATTGTCGTCATTGTCCTTATAGTCTTCTATCTCATCTCATCTCATGGTTCTCTGGTGGGAGTAGTTTGGCCTTGCAGAGGATACGAGGCAATGTCTACAGACTCTTTTGGCTGTCAGGACTGGGGTGGGGGCACAGGACGGAGATCAGGAGGCTTCTGTATGGTCTGTGAAGCAGGGCTCAGCCCCCACCACTAAAAATGCCCAATTCCTAGGTCAACAGTGTTGACACCAAGGAAGGCCCCACTGTGCTGCTGGCCCCATTAGGTCAGTCACTGTGTCTAGTGCCTTCGGCACCGTGTCCCCAGATGCCCAGCGTGACACTCAGCCGGCAGGAGATAATCAATATGCATTAAAAGAATGAATGAGCATTTGGAAGGCCCTGTGTCCTCTGGAGTCCCAGAGGTTTGGCTGCAGGATGCTTTGAATGGGCAAGAGAAATTTAGATGAGCACAAATGATGAAT